AATGTACCTAAAATTAAATTCTTGGGTCACATTCTTTCTAAGGATAGCATGACAGTAGATCCTTCAAAGGTAGAGATTATAAATAACTTGAAAACCTCAACAAACGTAAAAGAGCTTTAAAGACTACTATATAGGTATGGTAACGTATCTAAATAAATTTATACCTAATATGTCAGAGCTGACAGACTGTTTACGAGCTTTGTTAAAGAAAAATGTAGAATTTGTTTGGAGTGTGGATCAAGAAACTGCTTTTGCCAAAATCAAAAACGAACTAATGAGTCCTCCAGTATTACGATTTTATGACGTACACAAAGATGTTGTTATCTCCGTAGATGCTAGTAGTGGAAGTCTAGGAGCGACATTATTACAAGAAAACCAACCAGTTGCTTATGCTACAAAAGCCTTAACATCTTCACAACAAAAATGGCCACAAATTGAAAAAGAAGCCTATGCTATTAAGTTTGGTTGCCAAAAATTTCATGAATATATTTATGGGAAAAAGCTAGTAGTGGAGAGTGATCATAAACCTCTAGAAATAATTTTTAAAAAATCAATTTATTCAGCTCCTGCTAGACTTCAAAAAATATTGTTCGACGTTTTACCATATTCCCCAACAGTTATTTACCGAAGAGGTCAAGAAATTCCAATTGCCGACCTTTTAAGTAGAGATGTAGAGGAAAAAGAAGAAAACCAAGTTGAACCCGAAATGGAAATTTTAATAGTGTTATCAATGTCAAGAAAGTCAAGACTAGAACTGGTAGAAGCAACCAAACAAGATGAAGAATTACAGCTATTGAAAAAATACATTGCTGAAGGTTTTCCAGAGAACAAAAATAAATTGCCAGACAAAATAAGTCATTATTTTAACTTTAGAGAAGAACTAGCTTATTATGAAGATATCATTTTTAAAGGTAACAAAATTATAGAATAAGATGCTAACTAACATTCATGGCGGATACTTAGGCATACAAAGTTGCTTATGACGTGCTAGGCAGCTATTATATTGGAAAGGTCAATACGATGATATCCTCAACTATATTAAGAAATGCAGAGTTTGTGAATCCACCCAAAAAAGTAATCCCTTAGAACCTATACTAAACAAACCAATTCCCGATCTACCTTGGCAAAGAGTAGCAACGGATTTATTTTCCTTTAAATGTAAAGAATATTTATCAATAATAGTTAATCTGGTTATGTTGATTTTAAACCACTAAAAACACAGACATCATCAGAAATTATTAAACATTTAAAAGACTGGTTCGCAGTTCATGGTGTGCCTGAAACTCTTGAGTCAGATTGCGGTCCCCACTTTACGTCTAGAATTGAAACATGGGGTTTTCAACATGAACAAAGTAGTCCTTATCATCCAAGAGGTAACGGTCTTGCCGAAAGAGGTGTACAAATAATAAAAAACATCTTAAGGAAATGTAGTTTGGATAACTCAGATATTCAACTTGGACTGCTTAACTATAGAAATACTTCAAGAAACGACATATTAGGATCACCTAATCAAAGACTTTTCAACCGAATAACTAAACCCCTAATACCAATTTACGGCGACAATTTGAAACCTAAAATTCTGTCCAATATTCCAAAAGAATTAATGAAATTACGTGAAAAACAACAAATTTATGCGAGTCAACATGCAAAAGAAAATAAAAGTTTGCAAGTTGGTGACAACGTACGATTTGAAAAAGAAAATAGAACTTGGAAACCAGGAAAGGTAATGAAAATCACAGATAATCCAAGATCAGTTATTATTCAGACAGAGGATGAAAACTGTATAAAAAGGAAACGAAAAAAAAAAAAACCGTTGTGCCTGAAATATTTACGGATTCCTTACCTGAACTGGATAAAATCCCTATGGTTGTACCAAATGGGACAGAGACCGATATACCTACCGTTCGTAACATTCCAGTAACGAGTTTGCCTGCTCTTTCCACGTTACCACAACTTGATAGGCCAGAAATTAGAACTAGATCTGGAAAATTAGTTAAACCTGTTAGAAAATTAGAGTATACTCACTAATACCTTTTATTTGTTAAACGTAGTTTGTTTTGTAAAATAAGGTGGATGTAACATAGATATGTAATATAGATATCACCCTATATATACATATAAACTTGTAATCCAGAGAGTTGTCATTAATATATTTTACTTGTCAATGCTGCATCGTCCATCATTATAAATTATTATTTTACAGTGTGGATGGAATATTTCCTGCCTTGCTTCAGCAGGCACAGGAGGAATTCCTACCACACATAATACGGCTATCCCGGAGCAGTCTGGAGCTGGGATATATACCAGAAGCATGAAGAAGGGCCAGAGTCACTTTTATTCCAAAAATAGGGAAAAAGGATACCACACGTCCTAAATCTTACCGTCCAATCAGCCTCATCCTTTGTATTAAAAACAATAAAGAAGGCTGTTGATAATTATATCAGAACAGAAGTCCTGAAGAGGGTGTCACTCCACCACAGCCAACACGCGTATTGAGCAGGAAGATCTACAGAAACGACCCTGGTACAGTTGACTGATGTAATCCAGGATGCACTGACAAACAAAGAAACGGTTATGTGTGCCTTCCTAGATATAGAAGGAGCTTTTGACAACACGCCACACGAATCTGTAAGAGGAGTAGATAACATCACATCCAGATGGATGGCTCAGCTGTTATCTACGAGAACTGCAGAGACACATATAGGGCAGGACACCATCTTTATCTGCACAAACAGAGGATGTCCACAAGGAGAAGTTCTATCCCCACTAATGTGGAGCCTAATCGTAGACGAACTTCCATGCAGATTGACTGACCTCGGCATACTCTGTCAAGGTTATGTTGACGACATAGTCATATTTGCTAGTGGCAAGTTTAGTAATATCCTGTGTGATATAGTCCAACGAGGACTAGAACATACCAAAATATGGTGCCGTGAAGTGGGACTTAGTATAAACTCTATAAAAACAACACTAGTAGCCTTTTCAAGGAAAAGAAAACTTAATCTCAAAACCGTTAAATTAGACGGGATAGATATAGAATAGAAAAATGAAGTCAAATATCTATGACTAACCCTGTACAACAAACTTCTCTTGAACACACATGTAAAGAAAGTAGTAAATAAGGCCACAAAAGCTCTAATGGTATGCAGAAACATTGCAGGTAAACGATGGGGATGTAACCCAAACAAACTGCGATGGATGTATACTACAATAGTGAGACCAATCATCACTTACGGAGCTATAGCCTGGACTAACAGAACTAGTTTAGCTACTGCGAGAGCTAATATCTCAAAAGTACAAAGACTAGCCTGTGTTTGTATTACTGGTGCAATGAGAACCTGTCCTACGGCCGCAATGGAGGTGATCTTAAACCTCACCCCTCTACATTTGATGATAGAGAATGTGGCAAAAAGGACACGATATAGAATGATCAGAAACGGAGTAATCAGGCGAAAGTCTACTTGCTTCAGGACTAAAGGTACCTCGGACATGCCCCAGGATGAAATGCTAAAGAAGTACAGTTTTGTGAAAAACTTCAAAAGCACAGAGCTGGGCTACAAAAAAAATGGAACAAAGAATTCATCGCGCTTGCAACCGAAAGACGTGCTATTCAATGGTAAACAGACGGTTCCAAAACCATAGAAGGAATTGGAATAGGAGTGTATGGGCCGAGAACCAAGCACTCCGAAAGCTTGGGAAAATACCCAAGCATCTTCCAGGCGGAAATTCACGCCATCGAGAAGTACATCCAGTTTAATATCGAGAGAAACTATCATAGACAAGAGATTATCATCATGTCCGATAGTCAAGCAGCCATCAAATCACTGAGCTCTTACGCAATGAGCTCAAAAATGGTCTGGAGATGCCTAGAACAATTAAATGAGCTAGGCGAGAAAAATAGAGTTACTCTCACTTGGGTTCCGGGACATAACGGGGTACAGGGTAACGAGATTGCAGATAGTCTTGCAAGGAAAGGGGCTCAAACACCCTTTGTAGGACCTGAGCCGTTCTGCGGTATCAGCAGTAACATAATATTAGGAGAGATTAAAAAAGAATTGGGCAGTAGAAGAACCGATAATTGGTACAATCTCTTGGGGCTGAGATAGGCCAAGATACTTCTGGGTGAATATAACCAGAAAAGATCGGAAGCCTGCATCTGCCTGAGCAAGAACAGGCTACGTATTGTAACAGGGATCCTCACTGGGCATTGCCGACTTAAAGGACACCTAAGTAAACTGAGAGTAGTAGAGGATAGTGAGTACAGATTCTGTGAGGAGGAGGACGAAACCTCCATTCACATCCTAACTGAATGTGTAGCACTCCAGAATCCAAGGGCACTATATCTAGGAGGATATCAAATAGAAGAGGGAGATTTGCCTAACTTGAAGCCACTTTAAATCCTACACTTCCTTGAGAAAATAGGATTGGAAGGGTCGCTATAGGCATTGAGACATTTCCTTAGTGCAGTGACGACAGAAGGGATCACAATAGATCTTTTAGGTAGCAGTGTATTAACACCCCATTCTCAACATAACATAATATCCTGTTTCCCAGCGCCACTTTAGGAATAGCACTGTTAATTAGAACCCAACAGTAAATGATCGAGTGGGGAATCCTACCAAGGCATCAGAATTAATTTTAAATAATTAAATTAAATAAAAAAATCCCGGCCAACGGTGGGATTCGAACCTGGTACCCTTGGATCCACAGGCAGAGACTCTACCACTGACCCACCCACCCCTTATATTCTATTTTATTTAAATCTATTTCATTTAAATCTATTTTATTTAAATATATTTTATTTAAATCTTTTTTATTTAAATCTATTTTACTTGAATCTATTTTATTTAAATCTATTTTATTTTAATTTGTTTTTTTATATCTACTTTATTTAAATATATTTTATTTTAATCTGTTTATTTAAATCTATTTAATTTCAATCTATTTTATTTATTTATTTATAGTTTAAATATAAATATTATATATTAGGCTATTTTTAGGAAAACACAATGTATGATAAGGATAATACTCCCTGTTTTTACACTTTGGAAGATCCCGATGGATTTTTATCTTTTATGACAATCACTGTCAATAATGAATTGGTAGGTTTAACTGAAACATTGTGTCAGTATTGTAAAAATGCAACATTACCCCTTTCAAACAACTACCTTTAATTTGTGCTAAAACATTGCCAATTTCATGATAGATTCTAAATTTCTAAAATAAAGAACAGCTCTAGATTAAGATCTAATACCAAATAGAGCAAGTGCATTATTCTTTTGAAAAACGAGTAAGAAAGACATTTTCCTTTTGTTGCAAATTTTTATAAAATTGAAACAATTTTAATATAAAATATGAATCATTTAGAACACTGTTAATTTGTTATCTTTCTTTTAGGACAAAACCTTTGAGGTCATAACAAATCAAGATCTACCTAATGAAACGTACAGTACAGAAGAACCCTTGATTAATCTCATAACTTTGAATTATAAAACAACGGATTTTTATTCTTTCAGCGTAACAGTTATTGTAAGTATTTATATATGATTATTTCCCTCGCCTGTTAACTTTGACATTTTAACCAGTCACATCGCAATTTACGTTATCGTTAGAACCAATCAGAACCAAATAAATCGACTATTTTCACTGATTATTTAAAATAGACTATCCATGCTTTGTGCTTGGATATTCATCTATGTTGACAGAAACTCGCATATTTGATAATAGGTATAATATTTAATAATGGCTACTGTCAAATATATTTACTGTCAAAGTACAAGTTAATATCTCGTGGAACGTTTCAAAATGAACCGAAAATAAAAGTTATTTTAAAAAGATATTGTGTATTTATATTAGGTAATAGAGATCAGAGATGTAACACACACCGGTGTTTAACCTGCGCGATTGTTGCCAATTTCTGAAGAAAGGTTAACGGGGTAGGGGAACTGGGAGGAGATCCAAACTGTGTGATAGGGACGGCATTTGTTTATTACCATCATAGTAAAAAGGTATTTAGGGAATGTTGTATTATGAAATAAAATTTACTTGATTTTCCAATATCAAACACATGCAGACATTTTATGTAGAGAGAAAACAGGTGTTCCACAAGGAACAGTATTAGGGCCGATTTTATTCGTAATATATATGAATAGTATCATGCAAATTTCAAATATAAAAGGGCAACTAGTGTGTTATGCCGATGATACAGCTATAATATTTTCTGGGGAAAATTGGAAAAATGTAACACAAACTGCAGAAACAGAACTAAATAGGTTACATATATGGCTGAACCATAATTTATTTACTGTAAATATTAAAAAAACTAAATATATCACTTTTCACCAACAATAGTAGATCAGCCAAATAATATAAATATAAAATTACACTGCAAAACATGTCCTCAACATAATAACACATGCGATTGTGAAAATTTGGAAAAAACCGACATCAATTCAATTCAATTCAATATCGTAGATCAGCACCTAAAATGGACGGAATATATTACTAATGTTGCAAAAAGAATAAGAGTATTAATGCATAAATTTTATCAACTTAGAGAAATTCTTTCATAAAAAATCTAGTTATATTATATACATCATTAGCAGATTCTATAATAAAATACTGCAACTATTTGAGGCGGAGCATATAAAACAACACTAAACACATTACAAGTAGCACAAAACCTCCTAATAAAGATAATTTTTCAAAAAAACTAAATGTTCTCAACTGCTCTACTATATAAAGAAACAGAACTTTTTAATATACAAAATCACTACATTACACCTACCAATGCTTACTACGAATATTTAATGAACAAGATAAAACACACCAATATTATAGGGGAGAGGGGGGTAGATGTGGACAGGATTTTTTAAATTCCAATATGTATTTTATTTTCTCTTAATTTTACATTTTTTTTAAACTGATCACACTGGATGGCTATTGCGTAATACATACTTAAAACATTAATGTTCAAATTAAAAATAAAATGTAATTATTCTTCATTAAAAAAAATAAATTATTTGTCCACTTGTGCCTCAATAAAGGGTGCATGTGGACAGTGACAGGGGTCCATGTGGACAACCCTTACAATACACAAAATAAAATAATGTTTCAATTATTTTGTAAAATTAAAGAACAGTGTCATAAATTTTATCATTTTATGTAATACTTTGTAAGGTCTAAACTAAATGTGAAGTGGTCGGATGTCCTTGCCGTCCCCTTTTGATTCACTGGCTTAGGTAACTTCAACACAATATCATCTCTTGTAACTGAAGCCATATCATTGACGAGTGGGAATACAAAAGTCCATTTAGGAAAGTTTCGTCGCAGATATTGAACTTCAAACTCCAACTGACCTTCATACACTTTTTTCACGAGCGCAGCATAATATACTATGCATTTTTTTGTTGCAAATTTAACAAGTATAAAGTCATTAACAGAAATCACATCACTGTCCAAAATTAAATGTTCTATTTCCATAGCGTTGTTTTCTCCAATCCCCTCATCAGAAAAGTAGCTGCCTTCTGAGGAATCGTTATATTCTATATTTATTTGCTCTTCCTCTGATGAACTGTCCATTACAACCCGTTTTACACTTTTTTTCTTTTGTTTCGGTATATTAATTGCTCTCTCTTTAATAGCATTCATTTCGGGTGTACTTGTATATATACATGATTTGCCTTTTCTTCGGTTGTTGTTTTGCCTAGGTGCAGCTTTCGGGAATGGTCTAACAATTTCAGGAGTCACAATTCCACTGTGACCTGGAATATCAGTATCAAGATGATTTGCAACTAATTTGTCATCTAATGTAGTGGAGCATTTGTCTGTTGTATTTCTATCAGGTTCATTGTTATTTATAACTGAATCCATGATTGGCCTATCAGTTACGTATGAACTCTGAAAATCTGCCTCAGTGAATTTTTGATCATTTAGAGGCCACAAGCCACTAGCTTCAAATGCTTTTGTGATATTTTTTGGAACAAAGCTTATCAAAAATGGAATATCATATATCGATATTTGCTTCCCAGGATGAGTAGCCATGTGATTATTGAAGGCAGATTTTAATATTGCCTTGAATGGCCCATAAACTCCAATATCTAAGGGTTGAAGCTTATGGGAACAATGTGGTGGGAATGAAAGAATCACAATTCCATTTTCTTTACAGAAACACAAAGCTGGCAGAGATATATGGGATTTGTGGTTATCGATGAGCAATAAAATGGGATTTTCCTTCCTTGGTGATAGATGGTGAACAATATGTTTCAATAAGTCCATAAATATTTCGGCTGTCATCCAGCCGCTTTTATGTGCTAAACCAATAGCTCCAACAGGTCCGCCATTCACAAAGTGATCTTTTGCATGCACTCTAGGAAATATATAGACTGGTGGCAATGCATTTCCGGTTGCTGTTATAATACCTGTAAAAGTTACAAGCTGTCCACGTTCAGAAGAAACTATCTGACCTACTTGTTTCTTGCCTTTCTGAGTGAGAATTTTCGGAGATGGTAGGACAGTTGTTATCCCAGTTTCGTCCAAATTTAGTATGCGATTAGGCTGAAATTTGTATTTTTCTAATACGTTTTTGTAATTGGTAAAAAAATACATTAATATTGGCAGCGTTAAAGGAAGTAGCACGAGCCAGGCTGGTGTTTTCTGGTTTCCGTAATGAAATGTTTGCATGTCGTTTTAAAAATGATTTCATCCACTCAATGCCCGCTTGTTTTTCTATATTCCTTGTTTAATTTTAGAGCATATTCGTAGGCTAGTGTTCTGGTTTGCTGCAAAGTCAATCCATAGTGAATTGATGAACTTTTAAGCAAATACGTATTTAACATGTTTTCTTCTTGTGCAGAAAATACCTGATTGCTGGCATATTTTGATTTTTTGTTTTCTGGAATATTAGTTTCTGCGCCAGAATCATCCCCTTCCACACGTTGTTTTTTTAAACGCTTGTGTAACATTGATTTTTTTAAACTGAATTCTGCTGCTGCAGCACGAATTGACAATCTTACATTACAAATTTCTGTTAAGGCTCTTGCCACGACTGCTTCATCAATATCAGCCCTCGAAGTTTTCCGCTTATAGGTCCTTACCATTCTATAAAAAAAATTGATGTTAAAATACATTGCCCTTAAAACTGGGGTACATGTGGACAGTCCACATGTACCCCGTATTTCCATGTCCACATGTGCCCCAAGTTACAATTTGTAGGTTAGAAATTATTTTCATGCACGGAATTATTTCGTAGCAAAAACATTGTAGCTAAAAAAACACCTAATTAAGGGTTATAAACATTCACTGCCAAATAAAGTGATTATATAATGTACTTACTTCAATATCAATTAAGAATGTATCACTCATAAAATTAGTTTAACACCTCTAAAATATGTTTTCAACTACAACACAAGAAGTAATAGTATTTAAGAATAATAACTTCAGTACTATTTCCAATACAGTCAGAGACATCTACGAGAATTTTTTCGATTTTATTCAAACTCTCTAAAGCGGGAAACTCAAACTGTCCACATGTACCCCTTGTCCACATGCACCCCCTTCTCCCCTACATAAACTAGAAATATAAGAACTGAAGCCTTTAAAAATCATTTACTCAAAATTCATACTTTTATCATGGTACAAAAATATATAATCTCTTACCCGCTAACCTAAAACAAATAATCGATTAATCAAAAATATTCGATTAATCAAAAATAATTTATTTATTAAAACGCCGACTAACCTCTAAATCGATTTTTTAAAAAACAAAAAATAACCGAAATATCGACTATTTTAAGTAATCGATAATTTTTAAATAATCTATTTTTGTGTTTCATTTAAAATCGATTATTCAAAAATAATCGATTAATTAAGAAGTCGATTCTAGGATAAATCGATTTTCCACAAAATAACCGAATTATCGATTATTTGCAAATAATTTAGTTTTTTGGTATTTCCTTTAAAATTAATTGATCGATTATCTTTGAAAAATCGAAAATAATCGATTAATTAAAAAAGGCAATTAAATGATACATTGATTTTTCAATAAAGCTATTTGCTTGTTTGTATTTCCTTTAAAATTTATTATTCCATTATCTTTGAAAAACGAAAATAATCGCTTTATTGAAAATAATTGATTAATTGAGAAGCCGATTCTAAGATAAATCGATTTTCCAAATCGAATATTTTCAAATAATCTAGTTTTTTGGGATTTCTTCTAAAAATTGATTATTCGATTAACTTTGAAAAATCGAAAATAGGCGATAAATCGAAAATAATCGATTAATCTAAAAGCCGATTAACCGACAAATCGATAATTCTAAAGATATCACCGAAATATCGATTATATAAAATAACCGTTTATATTTTCATATCTATTTTTCGTATTTCCTTTAAAATAAATTATTCAAATACCTACCTTTGAAACATCGAAAATAATCAATTAATTAAAAAAGGCAATTAAACGGTAAATCGATTTTTCAATAAAACTATTTTCTTTTTTTATTTCCTTTAAATTCTATTATTCCATTATC